CTTGGTGCCCAAGGCCGAGCGCGAGCTGGTTGGTGCCGGTTGTGTGAGGTGTGTTTACCTTGGGGACCAAGGGAGGTGTGGTCCTCCTCTTCTGGTCCTCACCTACCCTCCTTCTCCTCTTGCCACTTGTTTTCTGCTAATTGATTTGTGTATTTAATTTAATTTGGAATTAAATTAATTATTTATTTTTCTCACTTTATCACTTCTCCCACATGGAAAGATGATTGAGGTATTTGGATGCCTTTGCCAATAAATACCAACCTTAGGAGTTGGGATTATTCACTTGAGTTGAACTCAATAAGGTATCTCCCTAAAACGTAAGGAAGCCTTTAAGTTTGTAATACTCTAGTTTCTTTTGGTCTAGCCTCCTCTAAGCTACGAGGTAAGGACTCGTTTGAGCGCGTGAGTGTGCAAAGAAGGAGGATTTACACTTACGGGTCTCAAGCTTTCCAAGGTCCGTGTTCGTGTTCGTGAGAAGCATGCTACAAGGGTAAGGTAGTATTTTCCTTAGTTTCTCTCTCTCCCTCTTTATGTGTTTGTTTTTTTTAATAATTATATGTTAAATTTGTTTAGTTGTACTAATTATGCTTGCGATCCTTGTGGGTTTTGTTTCCACACGGTGTCGGACATCGCAGAACCCAACACAACCTTGTCGTGAAACGACAGGGCTGTCGTTCGGCGTTGGTCACTGTCGCCAGGCGACAATTCTAACGCTCTGCAGCAGATTCAGTTTTTAATATTTTTTTCTGATTTTTCGCAGCGTCCTTCTGATTTTGGTTGTGAAAATTCAGGTCTTTCCTTCTTGTATTTCCTATGTTTTGACACATGACAGATGGTCTTTCCAATGCATACCTTTTTTTGCTTATGCCATAATATTAATCAAAATTACGCACATGAATATCAAGAATCTTTCAAGTCTCATCCACTCATTTTAACTAATTGCTAAACAAATTAGGAATTAATTTAGAAATCCTCCCCAGTGGAGACGCCAAAAACTGTAGGGAATTTTTCTAACTCCTTCGCCCTACATGTGGGTTATGTTTTTAAGCATGGCGGCACTCCAAGGAAAAGAAGCTAGAGAAAAAGGGTTGCCAACAAGTTTTAGAAACTTGTAAATCGTTCACGATTGTAAAGGTTACACCCCATTCACAATCACAGAGATTGCTAACTCTATAGTAGCTCGGAACCATGACTGGATGTTCGAGGATAATGGTACGAATTTAGGCTAAGAAAAGCTAGCCCTGCCCTAAAATAGGCCTCTGCTTAATTCTTATTAATATTCATGCGCGCTTTTGATAAACATCCAAACATCAAATTAATCCTAAACCTGTTTTATATATGTTGGTTGATTATTAATGCACAATTAAATCCAATATTGGTGATCACTTGAATTAATATCATATTAAGCCTAAATCAAATTATTAGTTATCTTATTAGGTGTGATTTCAATACAAATTTCCTTTAAACCTGCAAAAAGGGCGTGATCAAACAATAACAATAAATCATAAGTAATCGAGCAACATATGATTAATGTCACAATAATCATCAACATATCGTTAGTAGTAAGATCCAAGGCATGATACTAAACAAATTAATAGCAACTCCTAGCATGTCACTAGGTCCTAAACGATTAAGTTATGGCATGATTAAGGATTAGGTAAGGCTCGGTTTAGGCTCGGTTTAGTATTTTGGCCATAACTTAATCGTTTTAAGTCGGATTCGGGCTTATAAATATATCAATGGAAAGCTCTTTTCGAGCCCCATCCAACTAAACAATAATTGTACTGAGAACATGGACCAAAATAATCAGGTTTGGACATTTTTGTAATTTAGATACAAAATGGATTATTTTAAGGACACGAAATGAATGATTTGAGCTAAAATATTTTGGGTGGGTTTAGAAAGATGTTCTTGGCTTAAGGAAACTTCACATGACTGTTCAACTCTTTATCGAACTCGTTAATCAAAGACGCGAAAGGTACTTATCACTAGGTTTTGTTTTTGGGGAGACATAATCGAGTGTCTACAACACTAATACCTATTTAACAAATTATATCATGATAAAATTTGTCTTTTATATGTTACAAAAAAACGATTATCAAAGCTAATACATGAATAGTGAAAAAAGTCAAACGTGTGAAGTTTTTGGGAACAGAAGCAGTACTTTACGCAGGTATAATTTTTCATGCTCTCATATTTTTCTCTTATATATTTACGTGCAAATATTGATGGTGGGACTCAAACTTGTGAACTTAAATTCAGAGTTTTTGCCATCTCCAATAAGAATTCTTGATTATAAATATTTGTTAATTAGTGTGATATTGTCAAGCTTTTAATGTTTTTGTAAAACTTTAGTCTCTTTAATTTGAGAGTTGGCATTTTTTGTAAATTTACTTCTACTAACAACCACTAGGCTTGGCTAGCCTAACTAAGTTGTGTATAACAGTATAATTGGAGTAAATTGTGGTTTTGAAGGAGAAGATGTGTGGAGCTATAATGTATATGTAAGTGGGGAGATCATGGAGTGAAATGACATAAATCACCTAATTATGGAATTAATAACTTATATCTTGAAAGGTTGTAATAAATTATATCCTTCTATTAGACCTATTTTAACATTTTTGGTTTTGAAAGCATTGGTGCATAAGCCTATATCTTTAATTTCATTGAGACAAGGCGTAAAAATGACCAAATAGATTACCCATCAATTAAAAAAACATATGTGATACAGTGCCTACCACTAGTAACTATAGACACCAACCTGTGTCAACCCAAAAATATATAATAATTGGAAAGTACGACTTGATCAATTTTGGATAAAATCTAAAAACAAATTAAAAATTAGTTAACATACCTTCTAAATCACCAAATTTAAATTAACCTAACCTACAATAAACTCAAATCTGATCCAAATTTGATTTTAAGCAACTAAAATAGCCTTACTAAGCCCAACACACTCCTATTCTTGTCCAATGACATAAAATCCAACTAAAAACCCTACAATGACGGAGCCTTAAGCTACGCATCACAAACTTGAAGTGACATAAATTTCAACGTGTTATGGTTAAACCCAACGCAGCACACTTAAATAATGCACACATAAAATTCAAATGTGAAGCTATTGCAAGGTCATGCTGAAAAACTAGCACATACATACCCTATAACAAATGTAACGTACAACACTAGCAGCAAGAGTGTAGTGTTAGTGACCAGGGAACATGTCTTACTGGTACCATGCACCATCTTAGAATCAATGACCCAACAAAACTTCAATTTTTTGGTCCCTTGCCTTTAAATAATCCTCTTCGATCGTTCAATTTGGCACACGAAAATAAAAGTACATAGATCAAGCCCTAAAGCATAACATTTTAAGCCTAAAACCCTCCACAAAATCTTTTCTCAAGTCACTTTAAATCAGTCCAGGAATCATTCTTGCCAATTTAGTGTCCTCCTATCTAATTATTTATTGAAAACAAAATTCTTCTTCTTATCTAATTCTATTTAAGTTTATCGCTTTCTCAATGTAGATAGTCAATTCAGTTTTAATTGCTTATAATGTATCATTAAATAGTTGTATATGATTATTATGCTTTAAACATTACCTGTTACCATTGCTGCTGCTGCTACTGCTACTACTACTATTACTCTACTATCTTATTAATTCAAAACAAAAAAGCATGCAATCACATAAAATAAGTTAATTCTCAGAAAATCAGGTAGTATCCATTTCAATCAATATTGATTTAAAAGTCATATTATCCATATGTCAAATAATATAATCGAGTGGAAACATTACCAACAAATACTATCTCCTTATTTATTCTTTATTCACAAAAGTAAAAGCTAGGCAAAGTAACATTTTTTTTTATTAGTAAGCAGATGAATTTTATTACTCATTAAAAAAGGTTATACAACCTATCTCCCTAAGAAGAAACTACATAGGCAGGAAGCCTAAACAAACGACTATAAAAGTACAAATACACCCTTATTACAAGCTATTTATCCAAGAATTCTGCTGTACAGTATTCTTCACTATGCCCACCCCTTGTAACCTACACTTTCTCTCAGATTTTACACTTTGCTACTCTAGGAACCCAAAGAACTTTTTTGTCCCATAGAGATGCATTTATTGCCCTCCATGTATGATAATCAACTGCCAGAACACAAGTGTACAGGACACTTCTCTGGAAGCTGCTCCTTATTCTGCCTATTACCAATCCATTGCCTTATTTCATCCCATAGAGTCTTGATGAACCTACACTCAAAGCATAAGTGCCTATGATTCTCCACAGTCTCTCCACACAAAAGACAGGACTTGTCCTGTACTTGAGAATGCAGTCTGTCTCTAATCTTCAGTCTTCTCTAAATGGCCAACCAAAGAATAAATTGATGCTTAGGCATGCCTTTCCTCTCCCAAATGAGCTTATCCCATCTCCATCGATGCTGATCATCCATCTGAAGATCATACTGCTTACCAATTTAATAATATCCCTGCCCAATCAGAGCAGGACTCATTACACTCTTCAAATTCTCCTTCATAGCATATATCTGTTTCCAGTACCAACTACAGTTAGCTTTTGGATGGTAGTTCATCCAATTCTGTCCCTTTAGGTAAACTGCATTCACCCACTTCACCCATATGTTTTCCTAATTTGAGCTAAAGCCCAAACATGCTCCCCTAGGGCAGCCACATTCCAGATTTCAGCATTTCTAATGCCAACCCACCAAATTTCTTTTTACAGCAAACTTTTTGCCAAGCTAATCTCCCCGGCTTATTGCAAGCTTTCCCATACCATAAGAAATCTCTGCAAATTGTATTAATTCTTTCCAGCACAACTTTAAATAGAATCATTATCTGAGCCCAATAGACTTGAATGCTCATGAGCACAGAATTTACTAGGGTGAGTCTTGCGGCAAAAGATAGATTCTTATTACTCCATATTCTGATTCTGGTGCACATTCTCTCCACTAGGTGTTCACATTCTGCAGTACATATTCTCTTAGAGCAGATAGGCAATCCTAGATACATAAAGGCGTCCTTCCTCTGACAAAACCAGTAAGGCCAAGAACTTCCTGCACAGTTTCTTCAGACTAGTAGCCCTAGAGAAAGCCTCAAAACCCTTCATAAGTCTTCTAATGGACCTCACTTCACCCTTGCAGCAAAGAATCAGATCATCAGCAAAACAAAGATGGGTCAAACTCACAGCTCTACATCTAGGGTGAAAATCAAACTCTTTGGGTCTACTCACCACCTTTAGTATCCTAGAGAGGTATTTAACGCATAACACAAAAAGGAGAGGAAAGAGTGGGTCACCCTGCCTCAACCCCCTTTTTAAAGCAAAGAAACCATGAAGAGAGCCATTAATCATGAGGGAAAACTTAGGTGTTCTCACACAAATCATGACTAACTCAATAAATTTCCTTAGAAAGTTCAGAGTAGTCATCATTTCATCTATGAACTCCCACTCAACAGTATTATACGCTTTTTTAAGATCTAGCGTAATTAAACACCCAGGAGCTGCATTAGATCTATTGTAGTGTCTCACCAAATCCTGACAGACCATCATATTATGAATGATAAATCTGTTGTGAACAAAAGCACTTTGGTTTTTAGCAATGACATGAGGCAAGACAATCCTCAATCTCTCACATAAAACCTCTGCAATGCACTTATACACCACATTACAGCAGAAAATTGGTCTAAAATCAGCAACAGTAGTAGGGCATTTGCTCTTACCTTAGGCACTAGAGTAATTGAAGTATTATTGGTTTCTCTCAACATTTTGTGAGTTTGAAAGAAATCTTAAACTACTTCACACAATTCATCCTTAACTATGCTCTAGGAATCCTTGAAAAAAGAGCCGCCAAAACCATCAGGTCTAGGAGCCTTATTCCCATCTATATCAAACAAAGCTTTCTTGACCTCTTCTACATTAAAAGGAAGAGACAAACTCTCACTCATATCTTGAGATAGAATCTGACCCTTCCTAACAATTGCTGCATTTACATGAGATCTATTGTTAGCTGCAGTTCCTAGTAAAATCTTATAAAAGTTCAAAAAGGCATTAGGAATCTCCTGAGGACTATCAATCCAGACACCATTATTGTCTTTTATAAAATAAATTCTATTTTGAATCTGTCTTTTCTTCAGAGCTTGATGAAAAATAGCAGTGTTCTGGTCCCCTTGTAAGATCCAGGTTGATTTAGCTTTATGTCTCAAATAAGACAAGTGATTCTCTTGAGCTAAACCAAACTCCTTCTTGCCTGTGATTCAGCTTCAAGAGCAGCCAAGTCTGTAGCATGTGAGTGTACATATGTTTGGGCCAATTCAAGATCAGCAGTAGTTTCACTGAGCTTTTGTAATACTCCAATTTTTTTTTTGAACCAACGATTTTTCTAGTATAAAGTTTTAAATTTATAATTATTTTCAAATTTATATATTATAGAAAAAAAATTTAATAATTATTATTTTTATTTTCATTTTCGGATTTATTAAAAAAAAAAAAAAAAAAAAAAAAAAAAAAAAAAAAAACTGGTTTTAGATATTTACAGAAACTGATTTTGAAAACCAAAAAAAAAAACCAAAAAAAAAAAAAATTAAGCTTATCTTTTCAATAAAAACTAGCAACAACCTCAATTTGAATTGAGACTTATTTCCGGAATACTCTAGAGAAATTCAACCTAAGCTTTCTAAGTTATATATACACCTAAAGCCTAAAGCTGATACAATACCCATCTCTTTCAACTAACCAAGTCGTCATCCCCAACCGGTCTTTCGTCGGTAAGCGATGGTTTTCTTATTTTGATACACTGATCATTAAACCTTTTCATGATTTCTTACCCACTCAATTTCTGTAAACTTTTGCCTATTGTTGTAGTTGATGAACTGGAATTTTATTAAGAAAAGGGGTTGTTTTCTTCCAAGAAAAAAAAATAGACACCATTGAAATTTGCTTTAAAGAAGGAAAGCTATGAAGTTGGTGCGTGGGAATTGCAGTTCAAGAGGAGAAGATGTTGTAGTGGGCCACTAATTAAATCAATACTTTATAATTCTAACGCAGTTGACTTATAAGTGTTTTTTTTATTTCCGTCTCGTACTACTACTAACTTCGTATTAGACTATTAGCTATACGAGTAAGACTAATTTAGTTTTATCATCTAATTATTTATAGATGGAGGCTACTAGGTGAATGTCTCGGAGGTTACTTACCTTGAGATTTACGCGCAATTCAAGGTAATTTTCAATGTCCATCATCTTTAGAATCTCGTAAGGAAATTGTTTTAAATTATTGTGTGCCAACTATGTGCTTACGTAATTATATGTGATGGATGTGTTACCATATGATATTATGGAATCATATTATATACTAGTTTTCTATAATTGTGTACTAGTATAGTATTATTGAAAATTTGATTATTTGGTATCGTATGAGTTTTTTGTATATATAATTAAAATCTTGGGAATTTGGATGATTGATTATATGTGATTGATGGTCTCCAAGCCCTATTGGGAAACGAGTTGTGACTAGTATGTCTTGTAAAATGACTATGTTTTAATAATACTGCAATTAAAACATTGTTACTTGGGATTAAATTGATTTTGTGCAATACTCGTGTGCAATGTGATCGGACTTTTTAATCTAATTAAAATGTACATTAAATTAAGAAGGGAAATGAAACCCGAACGGGTGAAGAACAGGTTGCCCACTAGTGGTTATGGTTGCTACTAGTGGGTTTAAATTAATGTATATTGTTGTTTAGTCTTCCTCCTAATCACGGGGTATTAGTGAGGGGTGTGCACACTAGGGACATTCTGTTTAATTTATGGTCATTTGGGGTTACGCGCGACCCTCTGTAAAGTAGGTGGTGACAGGGACTAGTCCCGGCTTACTGGCGTTCTCTTTCCCTTTCTTAACTAAAGTAATAAATTTTATGTGACAACTTGATTTTGTCTTATTGTTATAATGTCGATGAAATTGTGTTGTGTAAAATGTTTTTTTTCGAACTAAAATTATTTACTTTACGGGATGGAGTTGGAATTACTCAGTTTATCTTATTTTGGGAGTTTTCTCTCTTTTCTTGTTTCTGATTTATTTTGCAGGTTGGTAAAAGGGTACTCGGGTACGTGTGAGGAGACGTTAGAATAATCACGTAGCTAAGACAATTTAGTTTAATTCCGAACTTATTTATTTTTCTTTTTAATTAATGTTTTTTTAAATGTTTTGCAATTTGGATGTAACGACTATTTTATTCTTGCCGCCACGCAGATCACTTAGTTTATAAAATGGTATTTTGTTTCACTTGCATTTATTTTCTACGGAAAATAAGTGTATCAGTAACACTCCTAAGGTTCGATGGTTGGTTTTGAAAGGTAAAAAGGGTTACTCTTATCAAGTTACAAAGACCCGAATTTTGGGGGTGTTACAGCTTTACCTCAACATTCTGGAAACCATTCCTATTCATGTCAATCAAAGCTTTCTTCACACTCTTCAAATTCTGTATAACTCTGCACATTCTAGTACCTTGGACCAGAATATTCTAAGCTTATCCAACCACATACTCAAAATCAGGAGCCTTACTCCACATGTTGAAATATCTGAAAGTTTTATTATTATTTCCAACCTCGGGGTAAACTGAAGCAATTCCAAGACAATGATCAAACTCCCCCTCATTAAAATAAACCATGTCAGAGTGCTGAAAACTAGTGAGCCATTTGTCATTCACCAGCCTTCTATCTATCTTTGAAAACACCCTCCTAGTGGCTTCTTGCTTGTTATTCCAAGTGAAAAAATTCCCACTACATTTTATGTCCTACAGTTGACACTCCAACACACATTCTCTAAACTCCTCCATTTCTCTAGCTCTCATAGGAGCTCCAATTCTTTCATCAACCTCCAAAACACAATTGAAGTCCCCCAGAACAATCCTAGTACAATCAACCATAGAATACAAATTCTTAATATTCTCCCATAATACCAATCTCTCAGCTGTTGTGTTAAAACCATAGACAAAAGTAACAACAAACCTAGTATCAGAATTCTTAAGGTGAACTTAGCAGTGCATAATCTAGCTTGTGCTCATCACTATGTCCAAATCAAACACTCCAAGTTTCCATCGTAACACAATTCTTCCATTAGGGTGCATGCTATTATTACATGAAAAACACAAACCTTCAAAAATACCAAGATATAAGCTCCCCATATTAGATGACTTAACCTTTACCAGGAGTCCAACTAAACCACAATTATAAGCCTAAATGACTTGTTTTATCCTTACATGCTTGCTGGTTTTGTTGGCCCCTCTCACATTCCATGCTAAGATTCTATCCATGTTGGCCAAGGGATGTTCCTTCCCCTACAACATGGACAGCTTATGTCTCCACCTCATCTTGTGCCTCCACCTCAACTTCCTCAAGCACTGCAAAAGAATTCCTCACCGGTACCTTAGCAACCACTGGTGGAGTCCACTTCTTAGGCTTCTCAGTAACTTGAAACCCCTGCTCATCAGCTTCTTTACTGCCACCTTTTTTTCACTTCCATCTTTCTACACAGGCTCGGTTTGCTTGGTTGTTTTATGGACCCAAGCTTTGGTCTGAATTACCCTTTTCTTTTGTGTCTTCTTCCTACAAGCATCAGCAGCATGTCCTACAATCTTGCACTTAGAGTAAATTACAGATTTCCAGTCATACTTCAATCTCACTTGTGTTAACACCCCTTTTTCATTCAAGAAGAACACCTCATTAAGAAAATTCTGAGAAATATTCACCTCAATCAAGACTCTTGCAAATCGCAGCTTTTCCCTCTTAACAGTTGTCTGGTCAACTTTTACAAATTTCCCAATTTTGCTAACAATTTTGCTCAAAGCCTTCTCACCCCAATACTTCAAATCTAAGTCCCGTACTTGAATCCAAATAGGAAGAAACTAGAATTCTTCTCTTTAGATTTTCACATCAGCCTCCCAAGGTTTCACAAAAATAGGTCTATTATAAAAAATAAAAAATAATAAAAAAAAACACCTTCTCCTATTCAACACTTTATCCCTGTTTTCCATAGTATGAATTCTGACCAAGAATATTCCCTTATCCATCAGTGACACTTTATCAACCCCCATTGATTTCCAAATTCTCCTAAAGAAACCCTCAATTATAGTCAAAGGTGGATTAACCCCACAAACATAACATATAATTGCCGAGTTCCAATAGTCAATTTCGTCTTGAATGTCACACAAATCAATATGAACACAATCCTCATTATTAAGAAAAATAGCATTATTTGCAGGCATAATATCAGATTGTAGTTCAACATGCAAATTCCTAGGCACATCATCAAATTGTATTGAACAAGCTGATTTTAGGGTCAAAACAGAGGTATTGAAATCATGGGTACCTGGGTTCATCTTTGATCCCGACTTAATAGCACTCATCCAATCAGAGATGTTCCTCCTTACTTCTGATTTCCTCTGCAATTCTTCCAATGAAGCTTCCGGAGTTAAAATTTGCTCCCAGAGAAAAACCATCAACATTTGGGTCTTCCATTTCCTCTTCCAAATTCTACGAAATCTCCTTCGTTTTCTTACTCTTCCTTGATTTATGTGTGATTTTCTGTTGGGTTTTCTCAATTTCTGAAGAAGAATGAACTTGTATGCCCACTGCCATGGCGTTCGAGCTTACGCGCTTAAAGGACTCACGCGCTCTTTCTCTCTCCGTTCTTGCTATGTTTCTACTCCTTTTTAGGCAATGTAACATTGCATCATGCATAATTGTAAGCACCTCTTTAAACCATTAGAGGCTGGCCAATTGACTCCCCTTAGGCTTCTCTCACGTAATCAATGATAGTTATCCTACCCGCATCACCAACAAAATGTTGGGAGGATCATCTCATTAGACAACATGTAATGTGTTTGGTCAATTAATCGGAGGAGTTTTAAAGGGAGTATTGTTATGTATCTATTGGTACATAAAAAGGGCATATTGATAACTTAGGAGGAAGTAGAAATGGAAGAATGTTATGTATTTGTTGGTACATAACATGACAATTCGTAAATATTTTAAAAATTAACATTAGTACCACTGAGATGTGAAATGTATCATTTTTATTAAAATAGTACTGTAAATAGTTAAAATTACACTAAAGATTGTTACAATGGTATACTTTTGAAGCTAATATATGTACCACTAGGTTGTGAAATTATGCCATTGGAGTATAATGGTATAATAGTAGTTGTAATGGTATTAAAATGACTATAATGGTACAATTAAAACCTGAAAATTAAAGTGTTAATATGTGGTCTCATCACCTTTTTATTGTACTAAGTTACCATTATGTCCATGTTATGTACCAATAGCTACATAACTTTCCTCCCTTTAAAATGCCTCATAACTTAGTACAACAAAAAGTGATGGGACCACAAATATTGCTTTAATTTTCAGGTTTTAATTATACCACTATAGTCATTTTAATACCACTACAACTAATTATTATACCATTACACTCTAATGGCATGATAACACAACCTAGTGGTGCGTATATTAGTTTCAAAAGTATAATATTGTAACAATCTTTAGTACAATTTTAACCATTTACAATACTATTGTATTAAAAATGATACATTTCACATCTCAGTGATACCAATGTTAATTTTTAGAGTATTTATAAATTGTCATGTTATGTACCATCAAATACATAACATTAATCCATTACTACTTCCTCAATGAATCGTCCTTAGGATGTGGTACTCGGCCTCTTGAACACCAAGTCTAAACGTTGAATGACATGTGTGTTTAAGTTATGTTGTCTCATGTTTACGTGCTTATATGCCTATATGTTACGTGTTTTTATGTGACAAAGGAAAATTAGGTCGAAAACTAACCTCCTAACATTGAACAAAATTTATAATCACTTAATAACCCTAATAAAAGTACTAAGGGCAAGTCAAGGATCAAACAACTAAGGAGAGGAAATGAAGACTGTAGATGATTTATGATTAAGCTAAACCAGAATCAAGCTAAGGGTTTGAAGGTTGAACTATGCTAAATCAAAACTCTAATAAAGGAGGAATCCAAATTCTAAAAGTACTAGGGAGTTGGGATCCACATGCAATCATGATTATCAAGCAAGATTGGGAATCAATCAATCAAAACTTTGTGAAGACTAGATAAAGGAGCCATTATTAGAAGTCATTTGATCACTATCCTCAAGCTATATTACCTTAGATCTATCCATTGGGAAGAAAAACAAGAAAATCACAATCAAATTCATCTAATTTAGTTGATCTTAACGGAGGGTCTCGCTCCAATCAAGATCAACAATGCAATTATACTTAAATCAAGGCTAAGCTAGCTAGACCAATCAATGCAAGTAAAAAGCAAACCTTATCCAATCAATCTAATCTCAAGGTAATCAACTAATCATTAATCAATTTCTCAAAATCAAACTCAATAATCAATCAAGCATGCTTCACCCTTTCCCTAGCTAAAGCTCTACTCATTACTCATGATTGTACTTAAACCTTCTTGGTCATAATAATTCCTTTTTTCTTCCAAAAATATTGGAATATCATATGCAATTATGTCATGGATGTAGTCAAGAATATCATCGCTAAAGGTTACATTCTAATTTTCCTCAAAAATTGGAACAAAATCTATCGCTGCTTCCATCTCCTAGAGGTTGACCCTTTATCCACCAAGTGTTTTAGGAACATTTTCCACAACAATGAATCACAAAGATCAATGAAAAATATTCAATTGATGAATTCTTGAATAAAAGAAAAACAAAAGGAAGGAATAGGTTGGTGTTTAGAAGACACCCATGGCAATCTCATCAACTCTAGGAGGAGCAACCGAGCAACATAAGGATTGCAGAGTCCATTACGGATGTAGCTAGGTATGGAAAAATCTTCTTCACCTGGCCCAATGTAATCAATTCTCGTATTCTTGTCCAAATGCCACAGGTAGAGAGCATAGCATTTCAAATGATACAATGTTCACCCAAGTGCATACCCTGCAGAAAAATTCAAATAATTTAGCACATGTCAAAAAATAGCAATGGAAATACAGTTATTAGGATGAAACTAAAACAAATCACGAAAGACTTTATCCAAAAATAAACAAAAATAAAACGGAAGACAATAGGCTTCATAAACATTGATGGTTGATAACATGCCAAGATTTTTTTAAACGTAGAGAGTGTCAAATCCATCCAAACCTAAAGCTTTAGTTTTGTTTGACATTTTCCTTCAAACTCTTGCATATTTGAAATTCAATGCTCAAAAAGATGGTACACAAGTTCAAATAGTTCATATACTTCTCTTTTAGCTGATTATTGAAGGTAACACTTTTACATGGAAGTAAAGATACGAAAGGGCTGTTTACTTGTACAGGATTACCAATACGCATTATAACAGATGAACAAGAAAGTATAAAACCTTGGTGCTAGATTGAGGTCTTCTGAGCAATAATTGCCAGATTTCTTGGTGACAAAACAGGATCAAAAATAGGCAACATGGAAACTTTGACATTTTCTTGCTCTTGTAGAAACAACAATCTATCCAGCAGTAAGAGTGTTTCGAAGACTGGCCCCAGAGCAGCTCGCAAAGACCAGTAAGGACCTACAAGCCCCTGTAATGGAAATACAAATTAAAGTTGAGACACATTATACAATAAATGACACTATCGAATGATACAGCAACCTAGCGACACATCATACAGCTTCAAACATGCACGACGGCACTGTATAACAAAAATCCAAGCAGCCAAATTGAGCATTTTAGCTATGTAGAGAATCTTAACAACCATCAACATAAATTATTTTATTCCATATTTTATCCACTTGAGTTCTTGTAATGGTGTAACTACTTATTCATGAATTAGTTTGACTTGAATACAAGAAAATGATTGAACACGTCAAAGCCCATCTAACAGCACACAATTCAACCAGTATTTACAGCCATCGAATGAAAAATACTGAAAAAGATTCAGCAGGATTTCTTTACATATATGGAACACATGAACTACCAAAATAAATGGGCAAATTGGTGACAGAGATTTTTTTTTTCACAAACTTTTATATATGGCTGGCCACACGGTGTGGCCAACCACAATTTTTTTTTTTTTAAAAAAAAAAATCCTTAACCACAAGTCTTCTCTCTCTCCTCTTTTCTTCTTCTTGAAGCCAGCCCACACAGCACCAACAATCCCTGCTCCACCCCATTTTCTCTCTCCTCTTTGCCAAATCGCTGCCAAATTAAAGTCTGGAATTGTAGTAATTGGGTGCCGAATTGCTGTTTGCGGTGAATGGGCGGTGAGTTGGTGTTGGTTGGTTTTTGTAGTAGAACTGTTCTTCTTCCATCCTCTTGTCTAGGCTATTATAATTTTTTTTATAAGTTAAGTTTACTTTAATTTATTAAAAAAAATAATTCAAGTCCTAGTACAATTAAGTTATTGTGTGTTATTCAATGCTGTTGTTGGAATGGCTGGCTTAGATTTAGGCACAGCGAATCGTTATGTTCATCAACTTCATCATCAGGGTCATCACCGGCCCGACCTCCACTTACATTTTTCATCTATAGGTTCATTTGAGAAATGTATAGAGTTTTACACAGTTAAGAGGTAAGTCTTTGTTTTTTGTTGTTGTTTTGATTGGGTTTTTTTTTTTTTTTTTTTTTTTTTGTTGGTTGTTTTGATTTGAAGTAGGGTTTTAGGGTTGAAGGTTGTAGAGAATTTTGTATTGGGGTTACTTCGTGAGGGGTTAATAGGTCGGTCAGGAGTTACTAGGCCAGTTAGGGGTTACTTAGCAGGGGTTACTAGGTCGGTTAGGGGTTATTAAAGGTTACTAGGTCAGTCAGGGGTTATTAGATCCGTCAGGGGTTACTTGTGTATTAGCTGGCCACCAATCACACACAAAACCTGTTTTTTATTTTTTATTTTTTTTTTTTTAAAGAATGGTGGTAGTAGTTCATTTAGAAATCTTTAAACCAAAAAAAAAAATCCCTTCTTGTTTTTTTTACTAAATTTTCATTTATGCTTCGTTTTTGTTTTTTTTATTTTGTTCTACTTGTCACTTTATTCCATTTTAAGCATACTCCCCTTACCATCATAACCCCTCTTACCCAAAAAATTTTACACTTTTCCACACCCGCCTTATCTTAAACCACTTACCTTTTTACACTCTTAATTTTCTTACACCCACCAACCTTTTTAAAATCTCTCGTTTTTTTCTAACACCCACTAATCTTTTTCAAAGTTTAAATTACGTATCTACAGTATGACAACAACAAAAAAAAAAAAAAAAAAAAAAAAAAAAAAAACAGAAGTATACAACTTGAAATTTAAGAAACTGTTGCATAAAGATTAGAAGCAGGATAACATTGCTAATTAATTGTGTTCAGGATTAGAGTACCCTCTTTGTGTTAACATAAAAGCCCACATTTAACAGAGTTATTAAAATTACAATCACCCTTCATAGGTCACCATTACCTTGTGGCTCTTCTTTCAAAGAGAAAAAGTGAAAGTGGGAATTTAAAAAGAAAAAAAAAAAAAAAGGAGTGAGAAATGATCATGTTATTGCCATAAAAAAAGTGAAAAGCATGCTAGATGAATTTAAAACGGAGGAAATATACAACTTAAAATTTAAGATACTAAGCATGCTAGATGGTCAGGCACTATCCCTAATGAAATCTTACAAATTGCATGAAGATTAGAAGCAGGATGAACATTGTTATTTAATAGTGTTTAGTACTAGAGTACCCCCTCTCTGTTAACATAAAAGGCCACATTTTATTAGATATTATATTTAAATAATATTGTTCAAATTACAATTACCCTTCATTGATTAAGTTCCATTCTAACTGACTATTAATTCCACATACTGCAAGGTCAACATTACTCGTGGCTTTTCCTTTTATGAGCGAAAATGAAAGTGGGAATTTAGAAAAGAATTCCTTCATTGCAGTTGTTCACTGCATTTTGGTGCCTACATCATACATTCACCAGTTTGGCAACTTAGCATGAATCATATTAAATTAAAGCACAAAACAAAAGTTTCTAAGGAAAAAAAGATGCAAGAGACATACAACAGATGTCTGACATTCTCTCCATAGTCCATTCAAATCCATATCCTGCAGAGGCTCAATGTGAAGATGACGGAGACCTGAGTGACTAAATTTTTCGAATAGGGTACATTTATCAGTCAAATTCCCAATTCTGTCAGAGAGATTGCACTTAAATCCAACAGTTGAAGAGTCCATCTCCACAGCTGTCCGGGGTATCTCATCTGCACCAAGCATAAAAAATACAAATAGTTAATATTGTGATAATATACATTGTGATAAATCCAATATCTTACTTACTGACATTTATTTAAATATATTAACAAAAAAGCATTGTCAAACTTGTGCTAAAAGTGAAAAGCGTAACAGCTATATAGGGACAGAGGAAGTACGTTACTTGCATAATTGACCAATATTCATATATAGCTTCACTCTTCATCACATGATCTTAAGTCTAGATTAATGAGCTCAAGGTTGCATCACCTACACCTACAGGGCTACAAATTACTTTCTCCATCATTACCAATTGAGGATCAGAATCTCTTAAATGACATTAAGCATTAAATAAATAAATAGGTAATTAAACAGCTACTAGATTTGTGATGCTTGGACTCATATGATATAAGGTATGGGTTCCAGATTCTAACACGAAAAGTTCTTAGACAAGGATATAGGATGTAATCAACTAGTGTCCAAATTTAAACGTTGAGCAAAAGGACATTAATTATGTATATTGAGAAGAGCTGCTTTTAAACAGAATCTTCTAAATATGTACTATATTGAGAAGAGCTGCTTTTAAACAGAATCTTCTAAAAATTAAAAATAAAAAAATAAAAAAAAACAAAAAATCAGAAAACTTCCTTTCTCCTACCATCTTCCTCCTACCTCCCTCCTACCATCTTCCTCCTACTTTCTGATCTCTCCTCCCTCCTACCATCTTCCTCCATTACCACCACCCAAAGCTCACCCCCTTCTTTCCTCCTCCTCCCTCAACCACGCCCCTTCCCCCCGAAAGACCTGCCGCCCCCCTTTTCCACAGCCACCTTGCTGCCCCTCCCCTTCCCCGTAGCCACCTTGCCCCTCAACCCCCATCCCCGAAACCCTTGTTCACCTTTGAGGGTAACGGAAATCGAACCCCCTCCCTTCTACACTTCCAAAACCAGCCCACCCCAGTATTCGAGCACCCTCTCTTTCTCTCTCCCTTCCCCACTGCCAAATCTAGTGGTCCTTCACCACTAAAACACCGGTTTCGAGGGGTGGGGGAAAGAGAGGGGGGTGGATTTCTAGGGTGAGGGTTTAGGGTGGTTTTGGAGTGGGGGGTTCGAGTTAGGAGCGATTTCGGGGGTGGGGCTGGGGAGGGGGGTCTGTTCTGGTCAAGTGGCTGTGGGAGGCGGGTGGTTTCGGCGGTGGGGCAGGGGAGGGGTGGTTGTCGGGGCAGGGTAAGGGAGTGGCTGCCGGGACGGAAATGGACGTGGGTGGGGAGTTCAGTTCGGCCGTTTCCCTGGTGGTGGTTGTGATGGAGTGATCATGGAGGAAGAGAGAGGAGAGAGAGAAGCAGGAGGGGAAGGGTGGCTGTTTTTTTTTTTTTTTTTTTTTTTTTTGTTAATTTTTTATTGTTTTTTTTTTTTTTTTTTTGACCAATCACAGGCCGCCACGTGTCATGTAACCTGTTATAACAGATTACATGACCGGTTGGGACCATTAAAAAAGAATGGGGGCTAAAGGTCAGATTATTAAAAAATATCTCAACGGTGGGATTATAAAAAACGAATGGCCCAAAGGTGGGATTATTCCCATGAATTTTACCTTTAAATTATAACTTGCAATGATAAAATTACAGATAGTTTAGGTCAAAGCCTCACAGGTATGATAGTAGAGAAACATAAATATTTTATCACATTCCTTCAGAAAAAAGATTTTTTTATCAGATTCAGCGCATCCTAAATTACAAGTGCTAACTATGGCAACAAAGATACCAGACAGAAAGACACAATATTATGCAAATAGTAAGATTGCAATGGGTGGTGTAAGAAGTCTGAGGACCCTACCTGGGCTGGATTAGACTCCAGCCTAAGCCCATGCAGCTTGTAATATCCTTTCTAAAATTGATAGAATAATTAAAAGAACAGACACAATAGCAAAATTTACTTTCTGCAGAGTCTGAAGGATTAGTAAAGCTCTTTTTCTGCTGGCGACACAAGGCTTTCCCTTGACGACCTATTGAAGGACTCGTGAAAAGAACTTCTGGATAATAACGATCAAGGACCTGCATAGAAAAGGAGTTTAAGGCTTGGTCAACCAATAACGGATATTTCAAAGTACTCCGTTCTTTTCTTTTTTTTTTTTTTTTTTTTTTTTTTTTTTGTATCTTCCTACTCTACATTTGATATGTAATTTTTTTAATCTTCCTACTTTTGCTTTATTCCTTTTATAGTAAAGAAAATGACTCACTTTTATACCTCAACTATGATGAGTGGCATTTATGCCACGATTTGGAGTTCCTTTTAACGGTCTTTTCCCATATTTGTCACTTCTTTGTTCTCTCTTTTAGGCTTTTTTCCTACTCTTTGTTTTCACTCTTCTCTTAGATTCCCACCCCCTTTTTAGTCCCTTTTTACCTTTGTTTACTTCTTCCATGTTTTGTGTAGGTTAACCTTGGTGATTTCTACAAAGGTGGAGCTTAGGAGTTAATTACATGGATTGCGAAGAGCCCATGGAGAGAGCACGTAAGTGAAGGCAGCGCTGGCGCGCAGTTCTGAGAGAGATCAAGTTTGAGGCAATAGACCACAAAGAGGGCGCACCATATGGGCATGCACCCTAAAGCAATAATTTTAGAGCTTGGAGGCAATAGCTCAGCGCGACTGTGCCACGACCACTAAGAGGGCGTGCTCCAAATCTGCGCGGGCACGCACCTCTGATTCATTGTTATAGCAAGTTTGAGGCATGAAGTTAGTGCACTTGTGTCACGACCACACCGCCGGTGCGCACGATCCCAGCGCAGGCGCGATGTTTCTAGGTCTACCTTTCCCGTACCCAGAAAAAAGCGGGCTCGCAATTTACTGCCAGGGCACACTCAATAAGTCGGTTTCTCCTATTTTAGGCCTCTTGTATAAATAGCTTTAATCTTCCCCCTTGGAAACTAATTACGATTTTAACTTAGATTAATTTCAGTAATATTAGAGAGGAGAAAAACTTAGTCTTATGATTTTGGATGATTTATAATCAACAACTTGAAGATTAATGAAGCTCCATTAGTAATTTCTATCTCTTATCTCTTTATTAACTTGCTTTATTTTCCTTATTCCCTTGTTGATTGTATGATTAGCTTGATTTTCAATATGATTAGTGGGTAGTTCCTCAACTAAGGGGATGGTAATAGCTTAGCTTGATGTTGAGCATGTTAAGGGATTGGGATTAAGGGTTGTTTAGTGATAAAAGTCTTTGTCTTTCATGATTTTCCAACTATTTCTCATGAATGGTCAATCAATAGTTGTAGTTGGGTGAGTTTGAACTTGATTAAGATAATAGTGTAATTAAGTGATGCTTATTGGATGATATGTTCCTATTTACCTCATTTCATGCTTGATTATGACGATAGTGTAATTGATTAAGATAATAGAGGTATTGCACGGATTTAGGGAGAGAAAAAGGGTTAGGAAATGATAAAGGAGGCAGAAGTGCAGAATGTAAGGTTAGTGGGTTTAGCTTTTATATGATAATTAAAATAAATGACCAAGCTCCTTACTATTCAGACTTCGATTCGGTTTTTATTTAATTCGGGTCGGACCTTACAGTGCCTCAAGATCCAACCCGTGTCCAAATCGGACTCGGATTCGGTTTTTTTTTATTTTTGGATTCGAGTCGAACTTTTTTCTTCGAATTGGGTTGGACTTGGATCGAATCTAATTATATTGTCATCCCTATGAGTTACACTCTCAAGATTTGATAGTTGAGTTTTCAAAGCTACAAAGGTTCAGTTACTTGTAGGGGTTACTTGTATGAGTTACTTATTCAAGGGTTACTTACTTAGTCAGTTAGCGCGTATTCTGAGAATAACCCTTCACCAAGTAACCCTTGAATAAGTAATCCCTGAATAAGTAACTCTTATAATTTACCCTGCCAAATGAGTAACTCGTGAATAAGTAACCCTTGACCAAACGAGTAACCCCGACGAGTAACCCTTGACCAAACGAGTAACCCCTGACCAAACGAGTGACCCCCTACAAAGAACCCTGGCCACATGGTGTGGCCAACCACATAAAAAATTGTGAAAAAGGGTTTTTCCTTTGTCAAAAAAAAATAAATAAATAAAAAATAAAAACACAAATTTTGGGGTTGTTACACTTAGATAAATATATTTGCTACTATGAATTCTTTAAAATAAGCACAATGCACATTCGAGCACAAAATTCTAACAGTTGAGCATGGGGAGCATTCAGAACAGTGACAATTACAAAAATTATCAAGAAGCTCAATAGTGGACATACCATCTGAAAGACAGCACGAAATCCATGCAAATCAAAATTTTGAATACCAGCATCCTTCTCCAAACTTCGCCATCTTTCAGCACTCTGGATTGGTAAGACTAGGAATCAAGGCTTGAAGACTACTCAATGATCTACAAAGCTAATATTGTAGAATGCAACAATAATTTTCCTATCCTTGAATGGTTAGGACTACAAAACAATACATACACACACACACTAAAGCATCCAATTGTTTGCAATCTCCGACCAAACCCAATATTAGGAAAATTTGTCAAAAATAAGCAAACCTTTGCTCGGTCTTCCCAAAATAAGCAAATCAAAACAAGTCGACATTTAAAGGATGTTTTCTTTAAATGAGTCATAATAGGCCATGTGTCATAATAGGATTGGTTTTTTAGGGGTAACAGTTGTTTAGGTTAATATGTCATGTGTCATAATAGAATTAGTTTTTTATATAATTTTAATAATGTTAATTATTCTAAATTAATTAACAAAAATAAACCTCCTCCAACGCCGACCCCATTCTCTCCCACTCCCTGAACGTTGGTCAACCACACTCCCTCCCCCACTCCCACCCCGACCCCGACCCCTTTCCCCCTGGAGGGCTGGTATGTAGTGGGGGTGGGTTGATTTTTATGTCAAAGAATGTTTAATAATGATTAATTACAATAAATAATTGATTAGTTACATTAAATAATTTTAAATTATATTATAAAAAAAAAGTGATTGGTTTGGTAGGTTGTAGGTCATTTGACTTATTTAAAGAAGACATCCCTTAAAAGTCGACTTATTTTGAGTTAATAATTAGGTTTGCTTATTTTGGGAAGACCGATCAAAGGTTTTCTTATTTTTAACAAATTTCCATATTATTTTTACTCTTTTAAGACCAGAGGAATAAATATGAAAAAGAGAATACTAAAGAAAGAGGAGGGGCTTGAATTGGAGAGAACTTCAAGATGTTCATGCTCTAATGTACCATTTCAAAAGAAATATTTTGGAAATAAACAGAAATTATACCTGGCAAGCGAGGTCACGTGCATTTTTACCAAGTGTAAAATTCATTAATCTAAGCCCCTTGCTCACAGGAAAACCACAGTTCAAATCACTGTTTTCACATCTACTTTCAGTTAGTAAGTTGTAGCAACAACCTATACTAACAACTGCCTTCACTTCCTTGCATTCTGCAAATGCCCTACAGAAACAGTACGCAGTAAGTGAATTCCATAAACATACTGGTGCTCTGCCAACAGATCAACATACAAAGTCTTCAATATAAACTAGCAAGCTAAATGCATCTGAGAGAATATATGACTGTGCAAAAGGTTATTAGAACATCATATTTTAGAAGGCATATCATGGTGATTTGAAACTGTGCACATAGGAATTCGAGAGGTACAAGGGAAAATCCTCTTTCTTATGCCAAACATGTCTAATTAAACTTCAAGGAACTGAGAGGAGATGTAGCATCAGTTTAGTCAGATTTGAGAAAGGTTGTACAGCTGTGAGCTCCTTCAAAAATCAGCTACTGGAGAGGGATGCAATTTAGGATGATCAAAAGGAAACTTTGTTCAAGGCACAGAAGAACATGAATCTGACTCGGAACTTTAAACAGAACAGAGGTGAGTATTAGGTTGGGGACTATGTTTATCTAAAGATTCAGCCTTACAGGAAAAAGTCCTTTGCTAAATGAATTTATCAAAACTTAGCTGTTTGATTTATGGGCTTTTGAGGTACTCAAGAGTAAGAAAGGTTTCTTATAGGTTGTACCTGCCTCATACGACAAGGCTTCACCCTGTATTCCATGTAACCCTTTGCTAAATAAATTTATCAAAACTTAGCTGTTTAATTTATGGGCTTTTGAGGTACTCGAGAGCAAGAAAGGTTTCTTATAGGTTGTACCTACCTCATACGACAAGGCTTCACCCTGTATTCCATGTACCCCAGCTCAAAGCTACTATAGGAAATGCTTGCTTCAGTGACTATTCCTACACAGATCACTGGTGACTTAGTATTTGATGCGAAACTTGATGCCTGGCTTCTACCACGGGGTGTTTTGGGAGTTAAGAATGCGACAAAAACAAAACTACAGAAGTTGTGCAGTTGACCTGTAGAATTGCGTGGGACCGCCACGTCTGCCACACTATGACGCCATATGGGAAACTTGGGTGCAAATGATAAAAAATTTCCTGATATCTTCAAGGTGGAAGATGTAATCAGGGGTAATGCAAGAAAACAGCCTAGTCAAAAATTTTCCACACCTTTACCCCCTAACCAACATTACAACCCTCTTAATATCATTTCGACTTAGGTTAGTTGAGTCACTAGTCGGTGGAGGGAGCTAGATTTCAATCATATTTAGAGAGCATGACTTGGTAAGATGTCGGGTTCCCCTTTGTCTTCATTGACTTATCTTTGTTCCGGCTCCTTTGCAGAGTCATGAGATGCTACCTCTAAGGGTGGATTTGAATCTAGATGAGAGAACGTGGTAAGATTGTATGGAATGCAGGGGGAGTGGAGCATGTTAGAGTTCTTTACACTTATCATGGTTTATCCTTCAATCAACCTTTGGCATCCCCTTGCGTGCTCACTTCTAATACTTAGAAAACTTGTCATTCATTTATGCTTGTTGTCTTTAAAAGCTCGATTTGATTATGATTTGTGTCGTGATCGTTGCTTTTCTCTTCCCTCTTTTCCTTGTCTTTGGCTTGTCTTGAACTCTTTTTTGCAAGAGTTGTGGGTCAAGCTCTTTGGAAACCCTCATGAGAGCATACTCGTCCTCATTGGCGACTTTGGGGTTTAAATGGCTTGTTGCTTATGCTAAAAGCAAATTCGGCTTCTTTGTTAGTTTTAGGGTCTTGTAGCTCTTTTTGCTTTAGGACAAGCAAGAGGCAAGTGTGGGGGAAGTTGATGAGTGGCATTTATGCCACGATTTAGAGCCCATTTTAGTCAATGGAGTGACTCAAGAGTACATTCAACTCAAGAATACATTCGACTCAAGATGTTCCCGTTCTCTTTAATAGGAAAAGGTTTGGAGTGGCTAAAGAAGGAGGTGCCTCCCAATTCTCTCACAACATGGGACCAAGTCACTTCGGCATTCTTAAGGCGGTTCTACAACCATAGGAAAACCGTCGAGGATCCTTGATTCAAGGCTTTCACCAAAAGAGTGGGGAGTCCGTAATGCGGCTTGAGAACGATACAAAGAGCTTCAACGTCAATGTCCACATCATAGGATCCCTAAGTATCAACTTATACATACCTTTTATGGCGGTCTTACACCCAAGGAAGAACAAGTCTAGATGCCAAAGTCGGCGGTCCTATCATGAACAAGGGAGAGGACGAAGTGGAATATATCATAGAGGAGGTCGCGAACACTATGAAGATTGGTATAAGGGTGATAGAGAGACTACCTCAAGCAAGGGCACAGTCTACTCATTGGAGCAAGCCAATGCAATCACCAATCTCACTACCCAAATCTCCAAAATGGCCAAGCAAATGGATGACCTAATGAAAGAGAGATCAATTTCTCAGGGTAAAAACCTCCTCTTCAACCAAGGGAGGCCAAGGTATGAGTTCTACCAACTCTAGCCACAATTCAATGCCTCCCGAGTGTGTTTTTTGTGATTTTTGTGGTAGTTATGATCATGATTCACAAGATTGCTTGTTTATTGATGCTTCCCAATCCCCTTCCCTTGAGAATGAGAATGACAATGATGTTGAACATGTGAACGCCTTACAATCCTCGCATAGGGAATATGGGGATGAGGCCTAACCCCAATCTAATGGGGAATTGGAATCAAAATTAAAACCATGGTTAGAATCCAAGTGGTGGTGGTTTTGATAACCAATACCAAGGGGAGGCCCTTCCAATCACAATTGAAGAGGCTACCCTAACCAAAGAGGCTATGGTAATCAAAACCAACAACACAACCCCTGCTACTATGACAATCAAAACCAAGGTTTTGATGATCAAAGTAACATGGGGAATAATCAACAAAGGAATGTTTCCAACCAAGGCACCGGGGGCAATAGGGCTCAAAATGCTTCTCACTATGCCCAAACCAATAGGCCTTCGGGTTTCCATAAACCCCAACTTCTTCCACCTTAACAACCTCTTCAACTTGAGGCTCCTTCAAATGACCCATTGATGGCTAAGCTTGATGCCATAATCAAAAGTCAAGAGGAGGATAGAAAATTTAGTAATGAGGAGAGGAAGCGAACAAATGCTCACATGAAAATGCTTGAAACTTAAATTGCTCAACTTGCATCTAGTTCATCTCCTTCTTCTTTTTCCCTTCCTAGTCAAGGGATTAGCCCTAAACCCATGTATGCCGTGACAACTAGGAGTGTGAAGGTGGTGGGGAGTGACCCCGTAGTAGATAAGACGACTCATGAGGGAGTTGGGATGAGTGGTGATGATGAAACTCCTTTGGTAAATGAGCATTTAAGTGAGGATAAGGAGGTTGAGGATGATAAGAGAGTTGAAGAGAAAATCTCTTCAAAAGATGCAACACCCCTACCTTTGAATAAACAACCAAGAGAGGAGAAATTTCCTTACCCCTCACGATTTGTAAGATCCAAACTTAATTTTCAATTTGTGAAGTTTTTAGATGTCATTAAGAATTTGCATGGTTCCCTTCCTTTTGTTGATGCTATGAAACAAATGCCCCACTACTCCAAATGCTTGAAAGATCTTTTGAGTGGGAGAAGGGAGAGTGAAACCGTGAAACTAACCGCAAATTGTAGTGCCATTCTTTTTAACAAACTTCCCACCTAATTGAAAGATTCGAGTAGTTTCTCCATTCCTTGTTCCATCAATGGTGTTAAGTTTGACAAGGCTTTAAGTGATTTGGGGGCGAGTGTGAGCCTCATGCCCTTTTCCGTCTACCAAAAGCTTAACGTAGGAACCCTTTTCCCCACGAATGTCACTCTCAGCTAACGGACCGATCTACAAAGTTCCCCATGGGAAAGGTCGAGGACATCCCCCCTAAGGTTGGAAAGTTTACATTTCCCGTGGACTTTTTTGTGCTAGAGATGGATGAGGATGAGAGGATTCTTGTTATTTTGGGTAGACCATTTCTAGCTACCTCTAGAGCAATCATTGATGTGAGGGAGGGTAAGCTAACTTTGAAAATTGATAATGAATCCATTGAATTTGATTGAATAGTGTCATGCAACAACCCTCCTCAAGTGGTGAATGTTTAAGAATTGATGTTCTTGATACCGTGCTTGATGATTTCTCTCATTTCCATATGCATGTTCCTAATGATACTTTTGAAAATGTTTTGTTGAATGTGCCCAAGGTAAGACCATAAAAAGAAGTGCTTGCGTATGAAGCAATGCTCAATGAGAAGGAAGCAATACATCCCCACTTGACCTCCATCATGAGGATGATAAGCAAGATGCTCTACAAGGTAAGAAAGCACCGACGGTAGACTTGAAACCTCTACCTTTGGGTCTTGAGGTACGCATTTCTTGACTTCAACAACACATTGATTTAGAGGAGGCTGCTAAGCCATGTAGGCAAAGGAAACTTAATCCTTCCATGCAAGAGGTTGTAAGGAAAGAAGTTTCCAAGCTACTTGATACGAGAATCATTTACCCAATAGCTCATAGTGATTGGGTATCCTCAGTTAGTGCCAAAAAGGAGGGATGGCGGTATTGGAATATGATAAGAATCAATTGATCCCAACCCGGCTTGTCACGGATTGGAGAATGTGTATTGACTATCGTCAATTAAACACAAGCACTTCCAAAGATAATTTTCCACTACCTTACATCGATCAAATGCTTGAGAGGCTTACAAGATATGCCTTCTTTTGCTTTCTCGATGGCGATTGGAGATTTTTCCAAATCCCCATAGATCCCAGAGATCAAGAGAAGACGATCCTCACATGTCCCTATAGTACTTTTGCTCACCATAGGATCCCATTCAGTCTTTGTAATGCCCCGCAACGTTTCAACGTTGCATGTGCATGATGTCCATTTTTAGTGATATGATTGAAGAAGAAATTGAAGTCTTCATGGATGACTTCTCCGTTTAGGGAGTCACCTATGAAGATTCTCTTTCCAACTTAACTCGTTGTTTAGAAAGATGTGAGAGGGCCAATCTCGTGTTGAATTGGGAAAAATGCCACTTCATGGTGGAAAGTGGCATAGTCCTTGGCCAAAAGATTTCCCAAGCAGGCATTGAGG